TGAGGGCTACAAGTGTAGACAGAGGTTCTGTGGTGCTTGTTTTGATGTGTGCTTAACGTTGGAATCCAGACTGACACCCAGCACTTTATAGACTCTTAGCATTTCGTTATGTCTCTGTCCCATGTCTAACCTAGATTCAAGAAAAGCATGTCTATTATATGTGCTGCCCAGTAAGCAAATGCCCCAAAGCCATCATTCCTTCAAATTAAGAATCCATAGTAGTGATACTGCCTCGGAAACCCAAGGAGGGGTCGCTATGAGTCGGGGCCGACTCAATGGCACATAACAACAACAACAAGAAGTCTAATCTCAAGCACATAAACCTCTTCAACTTGAAAAAGAAAATAAATGAGAGAGAAAAAAAAGAAAGCTCATCACATGCATCCATCAGCGTGGCACATTGCAGAGCATAATAGTTGGAGAAAAATGAGGGAAAATGCACTTAATAAAATTGTAAGCATATGGTAAGGTTCTCAGACAAGTTATTTATGGTCTTGATTAACCTTGCAACATCATCGCCATTTTCGTAGGTTTCATATAACAACATAAAAATATTGTCTTTACCTTTTAACATGGCAGGATTATCTTATCCCCTGTTCTTTTATTTAGCCTTCACTTCTCTTCCTCACCCCAAAACTGCTAGCAGCTTGATCATGGAAAAGCAAAGCTGCTTCTGTTCAGTGGTAGTTAATTTTATGTGTGCTGTTTTCTTGACACTAGTGCATAGCAACAGCGCCACCAAAAGGACAGGTTCCCTAATTTCTAGAATCTGCTCCATTTCTTTACTCAACAGCCTTTCAGTGTTTTACGTGATGATTCCTGGCTGCTGTGTGTCCAATATATGATTTATTGCCATTTTCGGCTCTTTATAGTTAATAGGTCTTAATTTTTCTCTGATCCATCGATTCATTAACTTCTCAGCTCTCTTTGGAGGTAATGAGTTTTCTTTTAATCCTCCTGAACTAAAAAGGTAAATGGTAGTTGTGCTAAGCTACAGATAAATCAGATGAGCAGATGTTTTTATACAACTATAGAAGTGATATATAAAAACTGATATTATAGTCGGTGTAATACCTGTACTGTCAGGAGAAAATATTGAAATGTGCAAGTTGTTCTATGTTTAGTGACTATGAAAGTCACCCCATGAAATAAAATTTCCTTATTCTCAGAGTGCTGTCTATTATATCTTATGTTTGCCCAAATTTAGAAATCTGGCAAAACTCGCTTTCTTTAATTTTAAGTACATAGAGACATGGCATGGGAATGAAATCTAATTAATTTAATTTATAGTGAGGATCTAACCATATATTTCAAATAAATGCATTTCAGGACTCCTTGTATTATTATTATCCCTGCCATAAACTGAACTGATTTTGTCCTATTTGTTATTCAGAATTTAGGGATTCACCAATGTAGATGAATTCCCAAGCTCCATTAAATACTCTGACATAGTGGTTAGAGGATGAACTGTAAAATGAGACTGCCTGGGTTCAAAATCTGGCTCCACTATCTTCCGGCTGGCATGACCTTGTTTAACACTTGGAATCTGAATTTCCTCATCCTATACATGGAGTTGTTAATCCTATCTATTTTATAGGGTTGCTGTTAGGATCAGATGAGATGCTATCTGTAAAGAACTTAGCACAAGAGTAAGTGCTCAATAAATGTCAGTTATTGCTGTTACTGTTATTGTCATAGTTATTTGTGGATCAAAAAGCCATCCATTTTTGCCTCTTCTTATAGCATTCTCTGTTGTTGTTATGTGCTGTCAGGTCGGACCTGACACGTAGCAACCTCTCCTTGGGTTTCCAAGGAAGTATCACTACAGAAGTGGGATTGCCCAACCTTCCTTCCAAGGAGTGGCTGGTGTTTGAACCTCCAGCCTTCTGGTTAGCAGTCAAGTGCCTTAGGCACTATGCTATCAGAGCTCCTATAGCATTCTCTAGATGTGACTAAATTCCAAAATTGAGGGGAAAGGCTTAATTTGTATTTATTTTACTGGTGCTTTCACAGAACATTACCTACCTAGAAATAGGTCTACTGCTGCATAAGTATAGAAGCATATCCATTTGTGGATGGGGACATCTGGCTTCAGACAGCTGGTTACATAGGTATCCCTGTGTTCAGAGAGCTTTTAGAAACCATTAGGTATTTTCTGTCATTCATTCTGCTTTGGGCTGGGGAAAACAAAAGACCTTGCCCATGTGAAAGCTCTTCCCTTTCAAAGCATCTAAACAGTTCTGGGAGCTAGAAGTTTTGAAGGAGATTTTTAGCTGAATCATTGCTATAATCCCTTCCTGACCTTGAGTCTGATTATAAAATTGGGAGACATATACCAAAAGAGGGAATCAGGAGCTACCCATTTTTGTATGAACCCACTCCAACGCAAGACTTGGATCTATCACCAACTGAGTCATTACCAGAATTTCTTTACAGTTATAGGTCAGAAGGGTCTGCTTTGATGTGCTATTAAATTTACTTTGGTTATGATATATGACATTTTAAATAAAATATTGTTTGGTAGTAACCTAGTAGTTAGTATTCAGAAATAAAAATTAAGTCAAGGAGCCATATTCAAACCAAGTTCCATTACCCTGCAATTATTTTAACTGAATTTTTAAGTTCACTTTTCTATCCATATCGGCAATCCTTACTACTTAGCAAAGTTTCCATTTGTAAGATTTTTTATTTTCTAGTACATAAAAATAAGTGTGATATGAATGTTTTATTGATTGTGTTCTTAATTTTTTACTCCTTGTATCATTGAATCTGCTTTATAAATACATGATCAAAGAAGGAAAGGTACCAGTCTACGTAGTGTGACTGACAGCTGAGTCACAGACAAAGTAGGAGTCTGTAACCGTTCTGTTCTCCAAGGGCCATAGAGAGTCATTTGGAATAAATAGAATTAGACAGGTATAAATAGAATTAATGGCATAATATTAAGAAATTGGAAATTTGGCTGAGTATCAGGACCGTGAAGTTAAAGAGTTACGGAAATGCCTCTGAAAGTAAATAGGCAGAGGTCCATTCACTGGAGGCCTGAGTATAGCTGAAATACCAGATGAATACCAATGAATTTATTATCGAGAGGATTTCTGCACCAGTGTGAGTTGGCCTAGAGAACCTGTTAGGCCCTTTGCTTGCTAATTTCTTTTTTGCCATGAAATAATAAAGCCTAAATCATAGAACTAAATTTCCCTTGCAAATTGCTTGAAAGTCTTACTTCTCTAGTGAGATCAAATGTGTCTTATGACATGTGTTTCCTTCCACTGTTCTCCCAGCTGTTGTTTCTTATTACTGAAATGGTGATGCATTGATATTGGTTCAATTACCAAAGTATCTCAGCACATTTAAATTCATGGTCCATCACAGGTAGACAAGCTAAGTGACTGTGATTATCAGACAGGATGTTTGATTTAAATTAAAGGAACACTTCCAAGAGATTATTTATAGAGGAAGACAGTTTACTCTGAAGAATTCCCAGCACCCATGTCATTAATATTTTAGGGCTCATTAAATAAGGAATATGGGGAAAACAAGGAATATGTGCTCTATATACACAAGTAGGAATGCTGCATTGCATTCCTCCATTCGGGTCCACACCATGGGGTCAACATTATGATGAGTAAGAAAGCCTTAACGCAACCCCATTGAGTAAGGAAGTAACTTAAGTCCTTTGAGTACAATTCCAAAATTTATACCAAATTCCAACTTGTAAATAGAATTTAAAATAAGAATCTTAAAAATGATTTTCATATTAAAGTTACATGGTAGTTAACTACATAGAAATATATTTTGAGCTGATATTTGAAAAAAGAATTTGTATCAGATGTGATGGAATTTTCTCTCTTTATAGAGCAAAGGAAAAAGATTAAGTTCTGCTGGAGGCAAGTGTTTAAGGCTTCATGGGATGTAATTTTTTAGCTATATTTTGAAATAGACAGCTTCTTGTTGGAGAGAAAAATTAAGATCTCACATTTTTATTAGGTATCAGTATTATCTTTTCAGTGCACTAATTAATTGCTTGAGGTTTTATTATACAATTGAGGAAAATTACTGTCTTGACCTAAGATTTACATGTGTAATTTTCATTAATGAAAATAGAAGTTACTTTTGCAAACTTACTAAGATTGAGACATGGATATATTTTCTGTGTCTCTGGGTCTCTGAGATATTGTCGATGCTTGCTATGCAACATTAGTTCCACAAAATGTCTTGTTTTGCTGCATCTGGAAATACCAACCAGTGTTAACAGTAGGAAAATTCCACAGGGAGGATGATTTTAACACATGAAGTTTAATTACATCCCAGATGTTAATGAGTCTGGTAACTGGCCATTAGAATAACCCATGGTCTCTCATTTATCCCTCTTTATTTGCTGGATCTCTCAAAGAACCTTTGTTCTGTGAAGTAAACCCAACCCTTCGTGTGGATTGTTTCTCAGGAAAAAGTTACAGTAATGAAGAGTTTGTATCAGGGTCTCAAACTGATTCTTCCTGATTCAGTCATGGCCGAAGAAGTGAAACTGCAACAATAAGCAGAATGGGAAAAATTACAGGTCAACACCTGTTAGAAACTTAATCTCTGTCTTAGAAAACAAGAGCAGTATGTACATTGCATAGCAACCAAATCTCTTGAACAGCAGACTTACATACAGCAGTATCCGGCTCAACGATGGCAACCAACTGGGCTGCTTTGAATGTGTGTCACTACCCCACAGTCCTGGCAATAATCCAATTTCCTGCAATCAGGCTCCTGAAATGGCTCACAGAGCCTCTTTTGAGTCTTTCATTTCAGGGCTTGAACACATAATTTTCCTGTTCCAGTTATCATTCCACTTAACTCAAATTTTAAAAATTCAAATCTGTCCACTTGTGCTTTGTTGGCCATGACTGAACCGGTTTTGAACCAATTTGAACCTCTCATTGTATGATAGTATATGTAAAGAGTATTGTGCTGCACTAGTACCTCAAAAATGTTTTCATTGTCTTTTCTAGCCTGTCAACCAAGGTCATCACTATCAGAAAGAAATGGATCCATCTTCTCCTTCTAACCCCCGGTAAGGAAGAATCATTAATAACCTAAATGGTTTTTTAAAAATAGATTATGTAGAAGATTGAATGTGTATTTTTCTTGACTTCATAACCTTGTTTTCAGAACTTCTCAAGAGCTTCCAAAGTTTTTCCTTTGATGTCTTAGTTCAGTCTACTCTTCTCATTCAGATGATGGTGTAATAGTTAACAGGTATGAGTCTATTTCAATTCTTGGCAGCTACATCTGTGCAGAGCAAAACTGTGCTACATAAGGTTTTCAAGGCTCTGACATTTTGGAAGCATATCACCAGGCCTGTCTTCCCAAAAGCCTCTGGGTGAGTTAGAGCTGCCAGTCTTAAGTCTAATGATCAAGCTCTTAACCCTGTGTACCACCCAGGGACTCTTAGTTAACATACCAGTCAGTTGCCATCAAGTTGAGTCCAACTCATAGCAACCCTATGCAATAGAGTAGAATTGCCCCCATAATGTTTCCAAGGCTATAAATCTTTACAAAGCAGACTGCCTTGTGTTTCTCTCATGAAGTGGCTGTTGGGTTCAAACTACCAACCTTTCGATAGCAGCCAAGCACTTAACTGCTGCACCACCAGACTCCTTTGTTAACAGGCTGCCTAGGTTTAAATAGAACCTCTACCTCTTACTAGCTATAGGACTTTGAACAAGTTACTTAATTCAAAGTAATTTCGTTTTCTTTATTTTCATCTATAGGTGGAGATAATAATTACCTCATAATGTTCTTTTGGGGCTCAAATGACCTAATGCATGAAAAATGCTTAGCACAATTCCTGACACATAGTGAGCTCTATTTAAGTGTTAATTATATTTATTATTAGGAGCTCTGGTAGTATAGTGCCTAAGGCACTTGACTGCTAACCAGAAGGTTGGCGGTTCAAACCCACCAGCCACTCCTTGGAAGGAAGATGGGGCAATCTACTTACCTAGTGATACTGCCTCAGAAACCCAAGAAGGGGTTGCTATGAGTCAGGGCCAACTCAGCGGCACATAACAACAACAACATATTTATTATTACTCTGTCACATTTGATGTGTAGTACATTTTCAGTGTAATTCTTTTTTACATAATCTGTGCTTTTAGATTTACCAAAAAGGCTTATATGCATTCCAAATGGCCATTATTTTTGTAATTTCAAAATTTTATAATTCCAAAATTATTTCCTTACTTGAAAAATGTCATTGGCATAAGTCATTCATCAATATAGAAAAACTTCATTAGTTTAGACTGCTTAGTAAAAGCAAATCTGATTCTAGTTTTTAAATAAATGTAATATCATAAAGGAGCCCTGGTGGCACAGTGGTTAAGTTTGAAATCACCACCTCCACCACAGGAGAAAGATATGGCAGGCTACTTCTGTAAAGATTTACAATCTTGGAAACGCTAAAGAGCAGTTCTGTTCTGTCCTATATGGTCTCTATGAGCCGAAATTGACTCAATAGCAGCAGGTTTGGGTTTTTGGTAATGTCATATGGCTTTGTGATAAATACACTCATATAAGGTAGTTCATTAGTCTAAATCAGTATCACTTTATAAGTATGTATTATGAATTATAACTGTTTATTTATTTATAGGGTCTTAGTTTCCACATGCATCTCACTGTCACAAAAAAAATCTCTCCTGTACTGTGAATTACCCCAGGGAGTGGACCAAAACTAAGATTAGCATTGTAGCTGTGAAACCAGGGAATGGTATCTATTACATAATATCTGAGTTCAGAGTCTTTGGCTGTTGTAACAAAGACAATTTAGCTAGCAGGAGAGAAAGAGAGAGCAAGAGAGTATGAGAGGGAGAGAGAAGCAGCAGAGATTTGTTAATAAAGAATGTAGGGTTATGTCACGGAACCCAAGGGCAACCAGACCTCAGGCAACACAACACACCGCACTGCTCTTGAGTCGACCTGACTCATAGCGACCCCTCCTTGGGTTTCCAAGGCGGTATCACTATGGAAGTAGATTGCCCAACCTTCCTTCCGAGGAGTGCTTTAGGAACTAAGCCAAGAGGCTGCCAGAACATATCCTCACTCTATCTTTCATCTCTGTGTTCTCCTGTCTGCTTTGTTCTGCTCTCTACTAGGAGCTCTGGTAGCATAGTGCCTAAGGCATTTGACTGCTAACCAGAAGGCTGGCGATTCAAACCAATCAGCCACTCCTCAGAAGGAAGATGGGGCAATCTACTTCCGTAGTGATACTGTGTCAGAAATTCAAGGAGGAGTCACTTTGAGTCGGATCCACCTTGACTATCTTTCATCTCTGTGTCCTCCTGTCTGCTTCATTCTGCTCTCTAAGCACCAGCTTTCTCTGCTTCCCAGTGTACATATGGCAGGATATACCTGTCCAACAGCTCTTGAGCTCATATATTATAGTTCAAGGTTCATACTGAGACTTATAGGCTATGTCTAAATTCCAAATCCTAATTTCCAGGGTAGAGAATATGATTGGCCTAGTTTGGGTCAAATATCCACTTCTGAACTAATCAGCAGTGAACAAAAGATGGTATCTTATGAAACAAACGTGACTGCCAGAAGTCTACCTGCGTTGTTGCAGGATTACTGATAGAGCCCAAAATATTCATGACAAAGGTGGAATCATCGTTCTTTATTAGTAATCTCTTCTTAATTATCATGATCATGTTGTTGTTGTTATGTACTGTCGAGTTGGACCCGACTCATAGCTACCCCTCCTTAGGTGTCCGAGGCAGTATCACTACAGAAGTAAGTTGCCCAACCTTCCTTCTGAGGAGTGGTTGATGGGTTTGAACCGCCAGCCTTCTGGTTAGCAGTCAAGTGCCTTAGGCACTATGCTACCAGAGCTCCTGTCATTATCATAAAGAAATATAATAAACTTATTGCTGTTGAGTCAATTCTGACTCATAGTGACCCTGTAGAACAGAGTAGAATTGCTCCATAGGGCTTCCAAGGCTATAACCTTTATGGAAGCAGACTGCCTCATCTTTCTCCAGCAGAGTGGCTAGTTAAAGCTAAACTTTTGGTTAGCAGCTGGCTGAGCTGCTTAACCAGTATGCCACCAGGGCTTTTCAATGAGTTCAAAATTGAGATTGTAATTTTAGTTTATATAGAAAGGTATTTTAACATTCTTAAAATGACTTATCTCTTGATCATGTGGATATTTCTTCCAGAAATCTTGCTGCTCATCTAGATTTATTTAACAAACTCTTTTTTTCTATGTATCAGTGAACTTTTAAGGCAACTAGAAATCCAACTTTGGTCCATAATTTAATACATTGAGAATTTGAAGTCTGAGCAAATGAGCGTGATAGTAAGGTATGTTATAAGGTGGAATCTTCTGTTTCAGTGAAGTTAGAAAGGGGTCCTACTAAGTTCCCTTCCTAGAACTCCCAACTCAGTGTATGACCTTAGACAAGTCTCTCAACCTCTCCAGACCTCATTTGATTATGTGAATGCCCTTCTGTATAAAACAGAAGGGGCTTGTGTTTCATGCTCTCTGAGGTCACTTCCAGTTTAATGATTGTGTGACTTTGATGAGGAGTCTTTATAAACTTTACCTACAAAAACCCATTGTACCATCTGATGGTCCCATTATTTGCTTTTATTTCACTGCCCTGAATGGAAAATACACTTCCTGAATATTTGCTGAATGAATAAATGAGTGAATAAATATTTAGATGTGGTAGTATGAGACTTTAAATATTCTTAAATTTTGACTCCCAAAAATGGAATATCATCAAGATAGAATATAAGATTTTCACCAACTAAACAGATTGTATTTTATACACTCCGTTAAATGTTTATAAATTTAGGAAAAATTAACATTTTCACATATTGAAATGAAAAGCTAAATTTAAAGCCAAAAATAAAATTCCATCAGCCCCATTTGCCAGGAGGTTGTAGCTATTAGTTTCCTAGAAAATTGTTACATAGCTATTGAGAAAACCTGTAGATTATGTGTCTGACTCTTCACTCATAAATGTAGCAGTTTGGAGAATTGGCAGGAAAGCATTTATTGGGTCATAAATAACAAAAATGATAAAATTATGAGATTAAAAAAATGGGATAAATTAAATCATGTAATATGTATAATTTAACTTCCACTTTAAAACTGTGATTCTTAAGATTTTTATATGTAATTCTTGCAAATAATATCCCCGGCTTTATTCCCCAAAATACAGAACTTTAAAATTAAATGATAATGTTAAAGGATGCTGATAGTTTTTATTAAAAATACAGGAAATGAAAAGTGAAAAACCAAACTGTCTAAGTCTACTCTATTAGATAAACAAGTCCTGGATAGGAAGTTTGGTATATGGAGCCTCTGAACAGAATACATGAAAAGCAGGTGGTCTCTTGATGTCCTAAATTAAATGTGTTGTATTCGGAGTAATCCACAGAATCAAAACATGGGCAGGAAGTGTACATGCAACTTCACTGACAAGAACCATGATGCTCGTTTTAGAAGTGAAATGACCGCATCTAGCTTTTGTGTAATGTTGGCAGCTATTCTGGAGACATAGGATGTTTAAACTGCATGTTCTAATACCCACATATGTATATGTTTAGAGAGTTAACTTTCTATTAGCTTCATTAATGTAACAGTACAACGAACAACAACAACAAAAAATCCGCTGCTGTTTAGTCGATGCCGACTCATAGCAACCCCCACTGGGTTTCTGAGGCGGTAAATCTTTATGGAAATAGATTGCCTGTTCTTGCTTCCCACACAGTGGCTAGTGGGTGTGAACTACCAACTGTCCGGTTAGCACTCAGATGCCTTAGGCACTGTCCTGCCAGAGCTCCCCAAAGTCTTTCATTTACATTTTATTCTGGGAAGATTTTTTATTTGTGCAACATAATTAATTACCTTCTTAATTTTGTGTGATTTAGAATTCAAAGATAATATGCAGTCCCCCAAGTGGGTAAATTTGGGTCTTGATTCTAGGATGGAAATAGCTACAACACTGAGTATATTCATATATTATTTTTCCTCACAGTAAAATAATTCACTCACATTCAGGGCAA